CGCGCTCCCGCGGGTCCCGCGTCCCCCTAAGGGCGGCCTGATCGCCGCCGCCGCTCGTGGGAGTCAGTGGGCCCTCCCGCCTGGCCTTCAAAAGCGGCAATCACGCGGTCCCAAAGCCTCCCAGGCTGCGTGGGCCTCAGGCGCGCCCCTTAGTACCCTCACCTGCGAGCGGTCCCGCGAGCACGTTGGTGGCCACACCTCCCTCGATACCTTCTCCTCAGCTTATGGGCCCGACTCCTCCAGGATCCCGCATCCTTGCCATCGCATTGCCCCTGGGTCCTCACTGACGCTCGCGAATCTTTATACGCATCCGCGTGTGTCCGTGGGGTCGTCCCGCCTCACCCTCGCCTGAGCGCTCGGCCCGTGGCGCCACTGCCTCCCTCGCTCTCGGATCGCCCACCACCTACCTTGCTGGTAAGATCCAGGCCATCTCCCAGGTTCCATGCCCTCTGAGGGAAACATCCCCAAACAAACAAATAGGAAAATAGCCAAGAAAGGACTTGCAAGAAAGCGGGGCAACGCCACCCGATTTGGGGAGTTGGAAGGTACTACCCCCATTTTACCTAAAGGGAAGCTGAGGCTTTGAAAAAATGTTAAGTCACTTGTCACAGGTCACATGACTGATAAGTGGCAGTATTAGAACCTCAAGGTCCGAGTTTTGTTGTTACCCCTCCCCCCAATTAGGCCATAGGCCCCTTCCTCATAGTCACTCTGACCTCTCCCCTCATAGCCCACCCCTCCCCTGCACACTTGCCTGAACCACCAGCCACCCCTGCCCTCTGCCCTCTGACAGAGGCTCCCCCTCCCTGCATTTGCCAGCTCCTTCTCCAAGTCACTCTGCAGTTAATGCCCACTCACCGCCTGTTCCTTCACCACCATCCTCCCCTTTTCACTGGCTCCCACCAGTTTAGCAACATACTCAAATGTCTCCTACCCGAGAATTACACATTTCATTCTTTCTGCTTCTCTCTGGATGCCATTTTCTCTCTCCTTTTTCTTCTAACTCCCTGACTGCCCTCTCTCATAATCAGATGCTTCTTTCATTTCTTACCATCTTTCTGTTTCCTAACACCTTGCAGCTTGACTTGCCTCCCCAACACTCCCTGAAACTGCTCTCCCAGGGACCTACCTTAATGTCTTCCCTGAGCCTCCATCCATCCTTTACTCAGCGTCTACATGCCCCCACTCAGGCCTCGCTTTCTGGGAGCATTTGATCTAAATGGGAAACTGATATGCAGGCAAACACGGGTGGCTGACCTGTCCTCAATGTCATCTGTGCTCAGGCCAAGCAATAAGAAAAAAGTCCTGGATGGCCTGGAGTGGGGGGAAGGGAGAGGGTGGAAAGTCTCTCCAGAGGAAGTGACCCTTTATCACCAAACACAGACCCTGCAGCTCCATCCTCAGTCCCCTCCCTTTACCCCTGTAACTCTGCATGTTCTACTTCTCTTGCCTCTTTCCTTCTCTCTCTCTCTCCCTCCTTCCCCATGGGTCTCCCTCTCCTTCTCTATTTCCTCAAAGGTCTGCCCTGGGCTCTCTTTTTCATTTCCCACCGTGTTACCCCTCAGCACAAACACCTACCGCCCATGACTTTATGTCCATGCAGACATTGACTGAGTATATCTCCAGCTCCTACTTTTTCAATGAACACCAGCTCTGCCTTTCAACAGCTTCTGGGTATTTCTGCATGAAAATCCTATTCCAGCTTCCAATTTAACCTATTTAAAATAAGCATGCTGTCTTTCTATAAGACCGAATCATTGTCTTATTTCCCACAGGGAGACCACCACTTTCCTACTCATTTGGTTTTAAAATTCGGGAGTCATCAGAAAGTTGTCCCATCCAATCAAATTCTATTGCTCCCATCTTTTCGAGATCCCCTACTGATCACTAGTGTTCCATTTTCATTCCTTACTACCCAGAATACCAAAAAAAGGTCCTTTTTACTTGCTAGACAAAGAACAAACTACAAACAAGCAAAAACCCTTTCAAATCAAGCAATTAGGGAATTCTATCTTGTTTTACAAGAAATAAGTATAGGCTCAGCCAGTGTGGCTCAGTGGTTGAGCACCGACCTAGGATCGAGGAGATCATGGTTGATTCCTGGTCAGGGCACATGCTCGGGTTGTGGGTTCAGTCCCCAGCAGGGGGCTTACAGGAGGCAGCTGATCAATGAATCTCTCATCACTGATGTTTCTAGCTCTCTCTTCCTCTCCCTGAAATCAATAAATAAAATATATATTTTTAAAGAAATTAGTACAGAGGAGAGTCATGAGAAAGCATTTTGGATGGGAAGTGAAACTCCCTTTCCTTTGACAGGGCCCCCGGGCAGGTAATGCCAGCATTACCAAGACAGCCTCCACCAGCCTCCCTGCCTCCAGTCTCTCCTCCTACCCAGGTGACCGCACATTCTCCTGATCCAGCCGTCCTCCTGGTCAAGGTCCCCTGCTGCTTCCCTGTTGCCTGCTACAGCAATGTCTCATCTCGTCTTCAGGCCCGCCACAGGCTGACACCTCGCACCACCCTATCCCACCAATGATAGCAACTTGCCTTTCCAAGACCACCACAGGCCTTCTCTGGCCACGCCTCTGTGAAACTTTTCTACTTTGAATTTCTCTTCTACCTCCTTCCCTTCTCACAGACCAGTATTTTCTGGTCAAAGTTCTACTCATTTTTAAAAGCCCTTTCCAGGCCTTCTTCTGGAACTTATACTGAGCTAATGGAGATCTATGATGGCATTTGCCGTAGGGTGTTTTATTGAGGTTCCTGCTTACTCAACTAGATTACATGTTCCCAGAGGGTTCTACCTTTTACTAACAGTAAGCATTTGACAAACTTTATCTCCTCTAACCAAAGTTCCTTTGGTCAAAACTATGCAATTGTTGGGAAGATCAGATAAGAAAATGTATAGGTGAAAATGTATAGAAGCACCTAGCACAGTGCTTGGCATGATGGGTGTCCATAATTGTATTGAGTGACTGGATGAAACCCATATGAGTTTTCCTCTTCCAAAACTTTAACCAAAACCAAACAAAACTTATGGTGATGGTTACATTACTATAATATGTACAGTAAATATTCACTTCTCTACTTGTACGGAAGCCAGAGGCGAAGGCAATTCAAATTACTCAAAACTAATCAAGTCTCATCTTTAAAAGAATGTTAACATTATTTGAACATGTGAGTTTTATTTTCCTTGAGCAAATATTTAAATTTGTTTCTATCCCTATGAATGCCAGTTGGGAGACGAAAGCCTTCAAATGTTTTGTGGCAGTAACAGAATGGCTCAGCTTTTT